TCATCTGATATGAATAGGACTACGAAATAGATTATATGACAATGCACATAACCCACATTTTTTAATAAACGTTACGATAGTTCGTTTTAGCAGGAATAGATTTTCTCTTTTTACGTGTTTCGCATTTTGACAAACCGGTGCCTTTTATAGGTTACTATAAGGTATATGGCTTTCTCATTGTTCAAGGCCGTGCGGTGACCTTTAGTTGTTTACATTTATGTCTTTTCGTCACCGGTGAAAAAGTCTTTTTATTATCGATCACAAGCTATCTCATCACATTATTTCTAAATTAAAAATTGAATGACAGATTCGTTAAGCTGTATCATATAAGTATGAGAACTAGATAATATCTATCATATGATATTCTCTCTCGTACATTAAACTTTATGTTTTTGTATGTTTGTAGAGAAGGGAAATGATGACAATTCTTTAGTAGTCTCTGTTTGATCTTATTTTATAACCACCTATCTATTGTTGAAGACGGTATTTTGACCTGTAGATTTTTTTTTGTTATTTGTGTTGTTGGTTTTCTGATAATGAGGTATATCCCACATATTTAACCAATTGATATCAACAAGTTGTAAATTTTGTTTTTTAACAATGAAATAACACTTTATAAATTTTATGCGTCCAAAACTCTTTTCTTGATTTACCTTCATCAGGAACGCTAAAACCTATAAACATTTGAAAGCCTGGCATGTATAAATACGTCGCAACTGTAAGAGCTTTTGGCCAAAAGATACCTTTAAAGGATAGCAAATTAATATAAGGGCAACTTTGCTTGAGGGAGTTGGAACTTTAGTTTCTTATATAAACAGTTAATTTTGTTATGATAGGGTATAAATCACGTCAGTGCCGCACTGATTACTTAGCTGATCAATTACCGTTGGGGACTAAAAATCATCCAGCAGCGGTATTGATTCAGAACTAGTAAAGTAAAATGACACTTTATAAATTTTGTGCGTCCAAAGCGCTTCAGATTAATTAACAGATTCAGATTTGGAAGATAATTTCAATGTTATTTAAACATCAAACTAAGCACCAGATTTGATAGTTTTTCTTCGCAGTTTTCTCTCACAAAATGTGCCGGATTAATAGTTTTACTTTAATTTGTCTATACATGACATGAGAGCCTTTTGTGTTTTATTTACTTTTCTGTTTCCGACTACTTTCGGCAATAATTAAAGTATCTCCTAAATAAGAGTAGAAATTAACAATTCCAAAAGGATTTACATAGATATGAAAATAATAATGTTTTTTTCTCTCATTTCAATTGGTTATCTGACAATATATATCCACGGTGCGATACCAAGCGACATCGCAAACAAATAACATACCTGGAATTTCTTTGTCAATTAATGTTCCAGGTCAATTAAAATATTTGAAAATAAAACGTACGAACTAAATCATATTCATAATATCATTTACTTGATATTGTTCCTCAAAAATCGATGGCATACATACACAGGAAATAAACAATAATTCCTAAAAGTGAGGGTTTCAATCCTCAGCACCGTTTTGACCGTAATTGTTTGTAATGTTGGTCTTTACAATTCTTCATTTAAAAGATATTGGGGAAAATGCCATTTTACTAATATTCAGATTTACTTTTTAATTTCCCCATGTATTTTTTTATCCTTTCATTTAGGATTTTCTTTTTTGGAGAGCAACAAGTCAATTTGAAAAAAAAACCTTCTTGGGTGTCTGATTGGATGTCACATGAAATAAAAGTTCCTTCATAATATAAGTTCCAATATGGAAAAGATATTCTGTAACAACTTGAAAAATTATTACAAAACATGTTCCTTACGGAATAAAGGTTACAGAATATTTGGTCCAACAGGAACAGATATTATGGCATTGTTTATAACAAAGTTTCTAGCTTCTGTTATGAGAAACAAAAATACGTCTTGATAATTAAGGATAGATTTATGCAAATAGATATATAATCCGCCTTTATAGATGGTGTGTATGTTTTACCCCGCAACATTCTGTATGTGCCTGTCCCAATTTATGCAGGAGCCTGTAATTCAGAGGGGGGGGGGGGGGGGGGGCAAGGGGGGATCCAATAACAGCAAAACAGCAAATTGATTTGGCTTAAAACAGATAACAAGGAATTGAAAGGGCATAAAAACAGATAACAGTGAATTAAGAATTGTTTGTATCTAATATTTACGTATTGGGATACAAGGAATATTATCCCCATATACATGACATATGTAAAAATTCGTAAGGGTTCGGCGGAACCCAGTGTCTCGCCTACTTTTGCTGTTAGTCGCAGCTGACTCAACGAAAATGGGGAAAAAATTATGAAAAATTTAACCACAGAGTGAATGTAATGTTAACTGGCAGAAAAACTAAGTCCATTTATAAGTAAAATACGGATAAACAGGATTTTTTTTCACAAAATTTTACTTCTGGATACTATCTTATGACTATAAACAAGCTTCTGTCCAAGTTATTAAAATATTCAAACTTTAACCACAGAGTGTCACTGTGAATATAATGTTAACTGGCAGAAAAATATGTCATTTTATAAGTAAAATACGGATAAACAGGATTTTTTTTTACAAAATTTTACTTCTGGATACTATCTTATGATCATAAACAAGCTTCTGTCCAAGTTATTAAAATATTCAAACTTTAACCACAGAGTGTCACTGTGAATATAATGTTAACTGGCAGAAAAATATGTCATTTTATAAGTAAAATACGGATAAACAGGATTTTTTTTTTACAAAATTTTACTTCTGGATACTATCTTATGATCATAAACAAGCTTCTGTCCAAGTTGTCAAAATATCTAAAACTTTAACCACAGAGTGAAAGTAATGTTAACTGGCAGAAAAACTAAGTCATTTTATAAGTGAAATACGGATAAACAAGATTTTTTTTTACAAAATGTCCTTCTAGATACTATCTTATGATCATAAACAATCTTCTGTCCAAGTTTGGTAGAAATCCAGGATAGTTTAAGAAAGTTATTTTAAAAAAATTCAAAAACTTTAACCACAGAGTAAATATTTGTGGACACCGCCGCCGACGGATCGCTATGTCTCGCTTTTGCGACAAAAGTTGCAGGCTCGATAAAAATCAAATTCGAACAATTCTTAATATTACAAAAAGGAAAACAGGGATACCTGATGAGGATAGTCCTAGGTCCATACGATCTTAACCGAAACACCTTTTATATAATAGAGAACACAGACTCCGCTCTGTGATTCTTTTTTAAGAATACGCACACTATTCAAATTACAAGCACGCGGTGGGAGTTTTTTTTAAATGTTCACCAACAAATGCTGAAAACAGTATTCCATAACATAAAATTATCATCATACATTGAGTTAAAAGAAAATGAATTTATCACAATTATTAAAGGATTATAATAAGATATACTGGAATAGTCCTGGACACGACTGATTTTAATATGTTTAAGTGATGGTCTGTGATGTGTACATTACTGGAATGCTTCTCAGAATTAGAGACCACCATATTACCAGTTGTAAGACCCCAATGTACAATGATTTTCATTTTCTACCGAAGATTGGCTGTCAAAAAGCTAACATTCCAATTTTCAATAACAGTTAACAGCAAATACATTCTCACAATAACAGATAACAAAAAAGATAATAGTCCTATAACAAAGAATTAAATTGCCCCATAACAGCATAACAGTTAAACCCCTTGACCCCCCTCAATTCAGTCTCGAGAATTCAGTGGTTGTCGTTTGTTGCTGAATATCATAATTTCATATTTTTTCATTGTTTGTACATAAATCAGGCCGTTATTTTCTCGTTTCAATCTAATTGAAAAATAGAACTCGAAATCCGAGTTCTCTATTTTAATTAGATTGTTTCTCGTTTTAAATTGTTTTACATTTGTCATTTCGGGGCCGTATAGTAACTTCTAAATAATGTAACGTGTAACCGGGCGGAGACGTTTTATTATGTTTATCCTCGGGTTCGTACCAGTTTCCTGGGATTTGAAGAGCAATTCAAAAATTCTAAAGTCAATAAAAAGTTTACGCTATCACTACCAAATATAAAACAAATAATACATAAAACCAGAGACATATAATACATATATGTCTCTGATAAAACGAATTTCAACACCTATTAACTTAACCCGAACCTGGTAAATTGAAACAGTTTAACAAAACCCTTTCAGTCTGATTAGTTTTAAACCAAAGGTTCGGAACTAGGCTGAAACCTAAATGTATGAAACTGGCTGAAACCTAAATGTATGAAACTGGCTGAAACCTAAATGTATGAAACTGGGCTGAAACCTAAAAGGTATGAAACTGGTCTGAACCTAAATGTATATGGAACCGGGCTGAAACCTATTAAAACGAATGTATGGAAACTATTTCAACTGGTGTAAACTTTCGGCGTATGAAACTTTATTTAAACATATGTATAAAACTGTTGGAATAACAGGGTAGCACTAAGGTATGGTTTGTCAGCAAACACTCACTGCAATAGTGAGAGATGTGAGACGCAAAACCTTAGCACCAGCCCTGTTTGGACAATCTGTACCGAACCAACAGTCTCAGCCTTTCTATATTCTATCCGCAGGTTCCAAGCACTTCACTTCACTTAAACTAAACCTTATGCCTGCTGTAAATTACTTCCTTTCCAACCTTTCCGATGTTCACTGTCTGCTGTCTTCGGTACAAATAACAACTTGCACTGAATAGCTACCCTGATACTTCGAACGCAGACCTCGAAGAGAGCACCCTAGCAACAACTGTACGTCAGGTAAAGCGTCTTATAGCAACCAAGGATAAAGGAATGATTTCGATATTGTTTTCAACGATAAAAAGATCAAACAGGAAAATTCATAGAGAAATCGTAAATTACATAACTAGAAATATTATAACATTCTTAAACTGTAAATACGTAACAATAATGATTCTAGAAATTTCCAGCTATTTTAAGTTATAAGGATTTCCGCATTTAAATTTAGAAATTACATAGCTGCTAAAATTACAACGGCTTTATCTTTCGTATCTCAGTAGACAGTTTATTATGGATTTATAAAACGCGAACAAGAAGGTAAGTATATATGCGTTTATAACATTTAAACTGAAAAGTAAAGAAAAAACTCAAAAGCTCATGTAGGTCATTATATATTTATATTTGATTTGTTTTTTTTTTAGTTTTTCGTGTTTTATACATGTAGACAAAAATGGAGCTTTTAATTTTGTCGTTGGGTTACTATCTAATTTTCAGGTCAATTTGAACTGAAAAATTTGTCATCAGTCAGTTCGTTGTCGTGTTCTTTTTTTTTTGACAGATAGAGAAAAAACCGCCGATCCGCACATCTGTCGACGTATGCATTTGTTCCTCCTAACAGAAGTTCCGTATGAAACTTTGTTATAAACAATAATATAATATCTGCTCATATTGGAACACATATTCTATGACTTTTATTCCGGCAGGAACAAAAACTGTTCAAGTGGAAATAACCTTCCGGTTGGAACTAATGTCATAAAGGAACTTTTAATTCATGACACGTCGCGTTACAATACCGTCTGTTGGTGTAAAATCGTCAAACGATAGAGTTGGAGTTACTGCTATACTTTTGAAACTACTGCATTTTTGGATGTTATCTTGACGGAAACTATAAAAGACAGAGAAAGAATTAAAAGCAAAACATGATCAGCATATGAACATCTACATGTAACTCGACATGACCGATACCGCCATTTGACCGTTTAAAGATCCAGTGTTCTTAAATGCCATACTTTACGTTAAAATGACACATTTCGATTGGTCAATGCAAGGGAGACATTTTACTTTATCATACTTCATGTTAAAATGCCAGATTTTGATTGCTTAATTATAATATGAAGATTGTTTATCCTTCTACCCTACGGCTTATATTCTATAATCCTGCGCGGAGACGCTCGATTAATTGTGCGCTTTGAAATATTTTAAATACGGATGGTTATTAAGAACATGACGTCATAGTTTCAATTCAAAAGAATAAAAAAAAAGACATTATAATAGAATATTCAGTTTAATAAATTTAATAACACATAGATGAGAGGGTGATAGAGCAGATTGTTACCACTCGCCTCGGGTGACAATGTGTACTCAGGGTAGGAATATGCTCGATCACCCGCTCAGCTATGTGTTATCTATATAATAATAATTTTGCTTTTTTTAATTATAATAGTGAGAAACTGTATACAGTAGAATTATCAGCAACATATGCGAAATTGTCCATCATCTCCTTAGTCGAGTTATTTTTTTAAATGATGATTATTTTTTTGTTTTTTTTTTTGCTTGCGTTTTTTATATTATCTTGAAAATTATCACAGATAGAGACATTTTATCAACGAAAGCTAATATCACATGATGAACTGATGTTTAAGTGTCTTAAGTCGGCAAAATCTAAATTGTTAATGGACTGCTTATAGGAGTTATTTCAATCAAATAATAATTTTCACCCATTTTTTGCGTTTTGGGCAATTATCTTAAATCTTTAATAGATAAAGGGAAACAAAAAAAAACAGTTTGTATGACCAGCAAAAGAAGATCTAAAGAGAATCACATGTCGAAAATGGTCAGTCGACTTCTAAGTTTATCCCCGATTTTTGCTGGGGTTCGTACGTGTTGCTCTTTCTTTTACTCCAATCTTTAGTTTTCTGTTATTGAGCTTTGTTATTGTTGTTTATCTTTTCGTCGAAGATACCAGGGGGGAAATCATAAACCCTTTGTCGAATGAAACAGGCAACATCATGCTAAAAAAAAAAACGACGAAAGACAAATAGCATTCCACAAAAAACTCAAGATTGGGTAACACGAGCTTTTTTCACAAAAATAATCGTACGATTAGAAATACTCGTATTAAAGTCATGAACTGTTACATTTTAAAACATCTTATGGTTATTATTAATCGAGTCATAGTCATAGGGTGTGTTTATTGGGAATATTTAAGTTTTTACTTAATGATGAGTTGGCATATCAATGCACTGAAAAAAAACCCCACTCCTTCGTGTTATATTCAAACATGAACAAGTTGAACAAGTACATACATTAACACTGTCGAATGTATTTATACTTAGATGTAACCTTTTATATTTTTGCATAAATTCCACCAGGTAATAACATTATAGAAAAGTTCGCGAATATCTTAATTATTATATAAATGGGAATACACTCCTGATAAAATTGCATAATACTTTTGAAATGTTTTTAGCGATAATTTTTTTATCAATACTGTTTCTCCAAGAAATTCGTGAGAAGAGTCGCAACATTACTAAATACATGCATATCTTTTTACCTATAGTGTATTTCAATATTACTCTCTGTGAACGGAAGTTGTCAAATTGGAGAAACCCAAAGTATCAATTAGGATAATAATATTAATTAAAACAAAAACAGCAAACAAAACATAGATGTAGAAAGACTTAAACACCGATAATATATTTCAACAAGGTATTCATATATATTTTGAGAAATACTTAAAATAGATTATTAGTGATGTATAAATATATACTTTGAGAAAGATTAAGATATAAATAGGGAATTATTTTTAGAATGTTGTAACCAATTTATATTTAACTCTTATTTTCCACGAACAAGTAGAGGGGCGTAATATGAAAACAATAGAAGCTGATAATTATTGATATAGCTTGTTATAACATGTATCTCTCTTTAAAGTATACTTAAGGGCACTTGGATCAAAATGAATATGAATATTTAAAAGTCACAATATCCCTTTTCAACTCAAGGAAACCTTGTTTGTTTAGGCAAGAGCCTTGTCCATATATTTCTTTTATCTTTTTCATGGAAATTTTATTAACTACACATCGGCTCAAAATTGTCCTGTTGTTTTTCTTTTTTTTAACCAAGAAAAGTATAGTTTAATATGAACTGTCCACGCAAAAATCATGTTTAGGTTTATTATTTTTGAATTAAAACGGTTGCCAATAAAATAACTAAACTGCTAAGTAGGATATAATATTTCGGGAAAATTACAACAGTCGACACAAACTAAAGGGGTGCATCTGACCGATAGGACAAGGGGGACATAATCCGTAACACTTAAAAACTGCTTAAGAATTGATTACACCTTCGGAAGATTTTGAACAGACATATTTTGTGTTCAAATAGTCAAAACTGTTTTATTTAAAAGATGTGATACATTCATATTGGGGAAACTTATATCATTTAGCATTATCTTTATGATATTTACCTTAAATTAAAATAAAGATCAGATTATGGATCCAAAACTTTCTAACAATATCCTTCAGATGATGGTCGTATAAAGACAAATGTGTTGAAATTCTAAAAAATGAAGAAAAAATATCATCATTTTGAGATCTTCCAATTACAATTTAGATATGAACAACATTCTAACCAAAGAAGATATGCTGCTATAAGATATGTATTAATGTTTGTCAAATCTTACTTGTGGATGATAGGTACAAAGAAATAAGTGAAAGTCTCAAATGACCGGGTGGCAATGTTTGTAACTAATTTTTGCTGAAAAAACTAAGTTCTCAAGTCTGGAAAAATAAGAAAAAATCATCAAAAAATTCTATAATAGCAGGTGGACAACTTCAACATATGTGCAATCTGCCTGTGAAATTTCAGGGATCTAGGTTGAAAACTGACTAGTAGAAGGAGTTGATTACACAAATTAGGTACCCACGTTTCCCCGCCCGCCCGTTCGACATCACCATATACTAAGCCGGTTTTGAACTTCGGACACACATCGTTCGTATTTAGATGTGATGCCTACTTTTGAAAAAAAAGAATATTACCATTTTTGTATTTTTAGAGGTATGGTTCATGATTCTCTCTTTATCAAATTTAAATCAAGACAATCAAGATTAAAGTTGCTTACTTGCACTTGCAGTATTTAATTACAGAGGCAAATATTATTATTTCTCAGTTTTTGCGTTTATTTTTCAGGTGACAAAATTTCTATTTCAATTTATTATGGAGGTCATAAAAGTTATACATTAGGTAAGTTAACACTCCATTACACACAAGTGCAAACGTACGAATCTGTCTTTATTTCTGCGTTGGGAAGACATATGCAAATATTCTTCATTTAATGATTATCATTAAAAAGTATATATCATGGACGTCTGCCTTTATGCCGTCAGTCATACCAACAGTAGAATAAGAGCCATATACTTTTGTACACTATTATCCCTGTCATATTTTTTCTATCCATATGGTTTTCAAGATAGTATATACTTAATGAGTTTTAAGTTATCTTTTTCGCCATGGCGGCCATGTTGGTTGATAAGAAGGAACAAAAAAAGCACAAACTTTGTACTAGATATTTTGATCAGCCCATGTCTGGTTGCAATCGGTTCAGTGGTTTTAGAGGAAAGGATTTTTTTAAAAAGCTTACGAGTCGACAACAAACAAGAAAAGAAGAACAAAAGTAGTTGAAAAAAAAAGAAATAAAAAAACCAATTTGTATTTTAGTGGATTTAACAAAATTCTTAAAATGTGAATATATATCTACTAACAATTTCCGACTATAAACAGCAAAATTGACTAGCAGTACAAGATCTACAAAATGATAATATAATTGTAACCATCAATTGATTCCGTATAGGAGTTTTTGGACTTAAATGACAACTGTAAACAGCAAAACATATCAGCAGTACACGATCTATATGACTGAAACAATCAATTGATAGCAACTAAGAGTAATTGTCATTAAATAGGAATTTTTGACAAATTTTACCGTTTTTGCTAATTTATCTTGAAAACAATAATTATATGATTGACAGAAACTGCACATCCATAACAAGATCTACAAAACGCCAATATCAGTGACACCATCAACAAACCTAATACACCGTGATTGCATTAAAAGGAAGTTTTCTTTCCAATTTTTTGCTAATTAGTCCCCTACCGACGAAGTCGAATGGGACTTTAGGTTTGCACTCCGTCTGTCTGTCTGTCTGTCTGTCTGTCTGTCTATCTGATGTCTGTCTGATGTCTGTCTGTCTGTCTGTCTGTCTGTACGGCAAACCAGTTTTCCACACTTTTTTTCTTCGTCCTTGAAGATATTGATTTGATATTTGGTGTATTGTTTTATCATGACAAGTTACAGATCAAGTTTGAATTTTGTTCTGGTCTGATGATTTTGTGCAGAGTTATGGTTCTTGGACTTAGAAAATTCACTCAAATAATCAGTTTTCAACACTTTTTTTCGTCATGCTTGAAGATATTGATTTGATAATGGGTATATAGTTTTATCATGACAAGTTACAGATCTATTTTGAATTGTGTTCCGGTCTGATACTTTTGTGCAGTGTTATGGTCCTTGGACTTAGAAACTTAACTCAAAAAATCAGTTTTCCTCACTTTTTTTAGTCATGCTTGGAAATATTGATTTGATAATTGGTCTATAGTTTTATCATGACAAGTTAAAGATCAAGTTCGAATTTTGTTCAGGTCTGATGATTTTGTGCAGAGTTATGGTCCTTGGACATGAACATTCACTTAAATAATCAGTCAGTTTCCACACTTTTTTCATCATGCTTGAAAATATTGACTTGATATAATTTTGTTATTTAGTTTACACCATGACAAGTTATAGATCAAGTTAGCATTTTGTGCCAGGACAATGAATTTTTAACAAGTAGGTGACTATGTATTGCCATGCAATACTCTCAGAATGCTTGTTTGCTTAGTGTTTTGAATAGTATAAATCAATAGACAAACAGAAACTGTAAACAGCAATGATGATCAACAATACAATATACATGAGCTGACACTGACATGACTGGAACCATCGACTGACTTCATATAAGAGATAATCTACTGTAATGATAGGTGCATGTGCTTTTAATGTTTTTGGATAATAGGTTGAACAAATTTATAGATTTAAAAAGATAAAAATAAATATAAAATTACTGTATTTTTGCCAGGAGAGCTACACAGGCTTTTGTTTATTGTTCTTTCCATTTTTTCTTTCAAAATTTAGGCCTCAGTGCATTGCTTAAAAGGGTTTGAATCAAAACAAAATGATTAAAATTCGTCTGTATTAACAAAATATTATTCTAACAATTTAATTTCAGATTATCACTCGTTGCAATTACTTCCGCAATTATATCCGTGGCTGACCAATCTACACCAACTAAACTTTGTTGTGTGTTTGAATCTTGTTTTTATGTTGAAATCTAAGATTCTTGGTAACAAAAAAGCTTTTGACCTATTACATTGCAACTGTGATATTCACGCACACAAAATGCATTTGCCATATAAATCTTGTCGTGTGCAGTTTTTTTACCGTATACAATCTTGTTTATGACGTCGGTAATCTACTGATTTCCATGTACCATTCTCGAAAGAATGCACGTTTGCGGAAATTTTACGTCATAGATTGAAATGCTCGGCAAAGTCTCTAATTCAAAGTTTTCCATTTGATCTTAAGCCTTGCACAAATCAGTTATATACTTACATGTTTACCAAAAAAATAATGAAACTTTTCTTTTTAGTTCATTGCAACAGATAACATGTAATTATCAGTCCTATTACTTCTTTCGAAAATATTCTATGTTTTAACAGAAACCTATTATTTCTTCTTGTTTTTAAAGCTTTAGATTAAGTAGAACAGTACTGAAACACTCCTGCTTCTCAAATTATTTTCTTAATATTAACTTACCCTGACGTTGTAGCTTAGGTCAGATTATGAAATTCAATCTTGATCCCATCACCCGATTTTATTGTTGGTTGTGGCCTGGGTAAACGTTCCCCATTATAATAATTGTTATAAAGATAATGGTGCTTTTCGCAAGCTTTAAAAGAAAACGCTGTTTTTTGCCTGGTATAAAACAAGTTTTACCTGGTACTTTAAAAAAAATCGTAAAACGCGACAACAAAAAAAATAATGAAAATGGATAATTTGCAAGGCTACTCTGCTACCAATTGGAAAGACAATCTTAAAAAAGAACTGTGGCGACCTAATTAAAAAACTGTTTTCAATAATACTTCACAATTTTTTAAAAAAAGACACACTAGCTTACCAATCTATGCACACATGATATCTGCACGAAGCTATATAACCGGCCATTTCGAAAGTGAAATTATATATTTGGAAACATCTAGTATTACAAATGCCTATTTTTAAAAACAGTACAAACCTTACAACTATCATTTCCGATGATAGACTTTTCAAACCTGTTGGCATTGTAAAAGATGACAGAGAGAAACGGTCCATTTTCTTTAAACTTTCTTTTGCGAACAAAATGCTTGATGCCATTTATTTATGCAATTTCATTCGCCTTTAATCATTCAAATCTAAAATGCCTACCTGTTTTAAAGATATAAAGTATGGTGTAATTATCTTGTACACTTATTCCGCAGCGATTGCAACTAAAATTTTCAAGCCCAAACACGTGTTGCATGGTCTCAATATAGTTTTAAATCTAAATCTCCTGGTTGTAATGCGCAAATTCTATATTCATATATTATCCAGATAGTCATATCATAGTTGGTAGCAAACAACACTTGTCAAAGAAACGTTTAACCTGAAAGGTCGAAATACTCTGAGCCTAAAATTAAGGCGACATAGCGACCGATGATAGGATTTGAAAGCAAGTTTAAAATGCCAAACAATTCTGTTGACGATCATATTTCAGACATTCAGGAAGTCTTTGGTAATTTTATCCGAACGGGAAGTTGATAAAAAATAAATAGAATTAATTTTTTGAAAGGATTAATGAACACTCATGCTACATCTATCTACAAAGACCAAAATGTTGTCAAACATATATCAAGACTCTATGACAAATGTGTTGTAGTTCCCGCAGACAAAGCCGATAACAGTACCATTTTTGTATGTAAATCGCATTATATGAACTGCTTGAGATAAGGATGTTAGTTATTGGCATATCACATAGAAACAAACACTTTAACGATATTTACTAATCTGGAGCAATCATATACCTACAAAAAAAAATAAGGAGATGTGGTATGATTGCCAATGAAACACCTATCCACCAGAGTTCAAAAACTAACGGTAGGCAGTTCTCTCACAAGCAAAAACATAACTTTAAAATATAAGGGCATACAACACTAGCACGGGAAACTTTCTACTGCATCCACACAGGACGCGCATCAAACCCTGCAATCAAGATGAAAAGTGGATGTAAGAAATTATAGGCAATGGTACGGTTTTCAATAATGAGAAACACACATACCGTATAGTCGACCATAAAAGACCCCGACATTAAATATGAGAAACAATTCAAACGAGAAAACTAAAGGCCTAATCTATAACAAAACAATTTACGAAAAACAAATATGACAGACATGGACCAACGACAAATGATTGCCAATGGGACAACTGGCTGTTTTATCTTTCTTTTGAGACATAAGATTAAGAAAAAGATGTACATTGAAAGTTATAAACGTTTATGAATATCAGAACATGAATTAAAATGACAAAAAAAGTAATTAACCACAACTAAAACTGTAGAAGGGCAATCCAGTTAACAAGTACAATACAAAAATAAGCACCTAATAAGATTCAATGTTTGTTTTAAAAAATGATACACGTCAATCCATGATATAAAACCCGCTGTTTTATTTTAATATTTCCAAACTAACCAATGCTCATTAAGGGAATTATACAAAATGCGTGTGCATGGAGAATCTACTAAAAGTAATATCATTGGCATTATAAATTATATATGGATGACTCCAAGACTACAAAATTTAAGTTTTTTAAAGAGAATTGTATGTAAAAAAAAGTAATGAGATTTGTTTTTTTTAAATATCATTTGAACCATTACCAATGATATTGAATAAAAATTGGTTAAAGAAACTACATGGAATTAATTTGGATTTTCAGCTTTAAATGTTATTTATATTTATTACAGACACTTGTGTCTCACAGAAGATGGAATATCATAGTAGCCATTACGCATTCATAGTATATCTTGGGACGAACCATTATGGTATATCTTGGGACGAACCATTATGGCTTCGAAAGGTAAAATTAGGATTGCTTCACAAACATGTATTCATACTGCCGCATTAACGTTTCCGCTTTTCTGGATCTTTAAAATATCGTCAATATTAAGAACATATATATGGTAAAAATCGAAGAAAATTCACCTAACCATCAAGGTTAATACTTGTTTAATAACGATAGCAGTTTATTTGTATATAGTTGCTTACTCATTATCTTTTGTACCCTGTAATTATCTTTTGTACCCTGTAATGTCTGTCTTAGTTGTGAAAGAACGGATTAGAATGTATGTTGCTCAATTTTATTGTTTAGTTTTTGATGGACTGTTGTCTGTTCATTTGTGTCTTTTATGATTTTGCATGTCATTCTTGAAATCAGTTTAATTGATGGTTTTGTTACTTTTCTACACAAAACGCAACAACCATTTAAACCATAAAAACTGACTTAAATATGGTAGGTAAAACAGCATAGTTCACAACATAGAAATAGCCACAGCGAGAGGGCGTTATATATGAAGCTTAATTATTGACGATTGTCAAAGGGTGTACACAGTTTGCACTTTAATTGGAAAGATGAAAAATAACATTTGATGAAAATCAATGTTAAAAACCTGTAAACGTATTTTTCTCTGTTTAGACTATCCAAGAAATCTTCTAGTGACACGCAGATGCTACGCGATACTTCATCCATGGATGCATATAATATAGAACTTTTTCGAAAAAAAACATACGGATTTTCTGAGGGAACTAAATGGTTCAATAATTTTGTAAAGCAAAGGAAATTGTCCCCTTTTCACTTTTATATAAATGTTGGAAAAAAGATAAAAAAAAGACGAAGGGATTTTGTAAATTTAAATTATTATCGAAGAAATGCAACATTTTAACAATGACATAAATGACAATTCTTAAAAAAACTTAATAAAAAAACAGTAATTCTTCTTTCTAGATTCGTATATATCAGTTTCACACGGGAAGCTCAATGCAAAACATTTTGCACCTTCTTACGTTCGCTATGCCCTTGCCTGTATAGTGATGTTTTAGATGAGAATGAAGGTAGCCTTTGTATTACTTTAATTAAACTTGAAAGTTATGTAGGAATTAAAAAATGACTATCTTACCTTACATTGGTGAAGTTTCAATATAGCTGAAGTGAAATTCAAACCTTAAAGGATAATAAGTATGCTTTCTTTTTCAATTTGCACTTCTAACACTGATATGATGACTTAACTGTGGTTATTCTACAACAGTTTGGAAAAAAAATTCTGATATTTTGAACAGTTTGATTTGATGTTGCGATGTTACACAACTGTCATAGGTAAGGAAAGAGTTAAGTCCTCACTAACATGTTAAACCTTGACCCATTTTTTTTCTGGTCTGTACCTATTCAGAAGTCTGAATTTCAGTTGTGTCATATTTGTTTTTCGTGTATTGTTTTAGCGCTTGGTTTTCTCGTTTGAATTGTTTCACATTTTTTCATGCCGGGGCCTTTAACCATACAGTAGGGGTTTTGCTCATTATTGAAGGCAGTGCAGTCACATATAGTTGCTCATTTCCACGTCCTTTCGTCTTTTGAATAGTTGTTTCATTGTCATACCTTATCACCTTATTATATATGCTTTGAAATATGATTTGGTCAATATTTATTTCTATACTAAATATATGTCAAATAATGTCGTTTTGTGTTAATATTTGTTCGGACATGAGGAAAAACGAGTATCATGACCTTTTGATAGAATACTTGTCATGTGCAACATACAGGAATAATATTTTAAATTATTTAGGAACCTTTATATAGCATACGTTGAACTGATTGACTGTCCTATAGTGCCATTTTTATGTAACAAAGTACATCTGATTTTAAAAAAAATGATCTTAAAATAATTAAAATTCATACCGGTTTTTAATTTAATACACCAGACTACATAAAACTCACCAGTGGTGCTCAAATAAAACAAGCTGGAAGGTCAAATTAAATACGAAGCTGAAGAGGTTTACAAACCGGAAATTCCGGAAAAAGTTGTAACAAATACAACTAAGGCATTGTCTGGGGGTAGAAAATCCTTTGTGTTTCGAATAATTCAACATTTTATACTAGTAATTAGTCATACATAAAAAATGAACATATCAATGATATTTCATGTCAATACGAAAGTGCTGACTACTGAGCTGTGAAACATTTGGAGATGAAGTGTACATCAGCATTAGCATCAATCCATTGGCTGTAAAAACTAACCAAAGATACCTGGCTTATAATTTGGAACGCAAGACCAGCGTTTCGTCTACATAAGACTCATTAGTGCCGCTAGGATTAATACATTTTGAAATCAAGCAACATCTAATAACCGAGGAAATCGCATGAACTCTCAAAGCAGCGAGACTATATGTGCGTTGACAGGGCAAGTGTCTCTTGTCGTGCATGCATCACCCGCCATGTGAAAAAAAAATCATCAAAGATACCAAAATTAATATTTTGTACGCCAGACTCGCGTTTCATCTACAAAAGACTCATCAGTGACGTTCGAATAAAAAAGTTCAAAGGCCAAATTAAGTACGAAGTTGAAGAGCATTTAGGACCAAAACTTCCGAAAGATTTTACCTAATACAGTTAACGTAATCTATTCCTGGTATAGAAAATCCAGATTCGGTCAAATTTGTCAAAATCGGGAATAGGACACAATCGGTTATATTACAGATCAGACGACTTTACTCGTATCTAAAGATCCAAGACAGTGAAAACATGTCTCTAGTGAGTTAGGACACTAACATATTGTATCGGTCAAACCAATTACTGAAGATGACCATAAAACGTTTGTAAAAGTTGCTCTTCTTCATAACTCGGTTTGGGCAGTTTTTGTGTAAGGAGCACACCCGTGTTAATGAAGTCCGTTATAGTGTGACATGCAAGAGAGTAACATATTAACTAAGATATGTAAACGCCATACAATGGATCAGAGGTAGCATAGTGATTAAATAAATAATGCATCCTTTTAATTTAAGACACAAAGTCACCAACGAACTGATTTTGTTAGGTGCAAATCATTTTTTATTTTGAAAATGTTTATTGATAAATTCTATTGAAAAATAAGATAAAAAGCTTAACTTGCTGCTGGTGGACTATCAGTTCCCGAGGGTATCACCAGCTTAGTAGTCAGTACTTTGTTCTAACATGATATACAACAAACCTTTTCTAAATTGTCCGTTTATAAATTTATAAAATTATCAAGAAACTAAGGTCTCAACTCCCTCAGACGAAGTTGACCGTAGATGAATTTGGATATCATTTTTTATACATCCTTAGCCTACAAATATTCGGCTTTGATGTGTTCCTTGATGAAGATAATTCAAGAAAAGCGCTCCGGACGCATGGATTTTTTTCAGCACTGGTTGGATACCGCTACTGGTGGACTATCAAAACATCCCCGACGGCTTTTTCGTTCACATTTTCCTGTGACATTACTTGAAAAACTCAAAACCTCAAAACCTCATTTATCTGATGACTTGAACTAAGCCAAAGTGTTGTGTACAATGTGTAGGACAAACGAGACAAGATTTTTTTAGAAGAACTCAGGAACACCTATAATAACAAACGTGATAATTTCAAGGAGTGTGGCACAATCTCGTTTTTCAGCCCACTCTATGATTGTACGCGTATAATTACAGCTTTTTGTCAACATAGGCTGTTCCCGCGCTGGATACAGTAGAATCACCTATTTTTATACGACCGCAAATTTATTTGCGTTCGTATTATGTTATGGTGTTGTCTGCGTCTGCGTCTAAAGACATTTTTGGTTCGCAGACAATAACTTGAGTATAAGTGCATGGATTTCTATGAAATTTTAGCAGAAGGTTCCATACCACTAAAGGATGGTTGGCATTGTTTTGGGGGCTATTGTCCTAGCGGTTTTGTAATTAGGGTCCAAAAATGGTCAGTTTTTCTGGTTCATGGAAAATAAATTGGTTCGCAGTCAAAAACTTTAGTATAAGTGTATGGATGTGTAAGAAATTTCAGCGTAAGGTTCCATACCACAATAGGAGGGTTGGATTGATTTTGGGGGTCATTGTCTTAGCTTTTTTGTAATTAGGGGCCATAAAGGGACCAAAAACAATTATTTGTCTGGTTTTAAGACAATAACTTGAGTATAAGAGATATTTTTCTGGTCAAAATTTTAGCACAAGGTTCCATACCACAATATGAAGGTTGGGGGTTATTATAGTAGCTATGTAGGAATTAGGGGCCATAACAAAATCAATTATTTGTCTGGTGCACAGACAATAACTTGAGTATAACTGTATAGATCGCTATTAAAATTAAGCACAAGGTTCCATACCACAATAGGAAAGTTGGGATTTATTTTGGGGGTTTCGTTGTAGCTGTTTAATAATTAAGGACCAAAAAGGGGTAAAAAAACAAGCATTTTTCATGTTTCATGACACTAATTTGTGTTTTAAAGTATGGATTTCTATGAAAATTTACTACAAAATTCCATACTTCAAAAGGAAAGTTGGGATTGATTTTAGGAGTCATGGTCCAAACCGTTTAATGATAAGGGGCTGAAAAGGGGACAAAAAACTCGGATTTTCTGATTTCTGGACAATAACTTGAGTATAATCCTATTTATTGCTATTCAATTGTGCCACAAGGTGTTATACCATAAAATAAAGTTTGGGATTGATTTTAGGGGTTATGACCCTATTGGTTTAGTTAAAATGGGCCAAAACTAATACTTTGTATAAATTGCGTATTTCTTTAACAATTTCAATGGGGTTTAATTCAAAAGTCTTGAATTCATGGGAGTCTTTTATATGCTGAATCTTATTGGCTATTTAGAATTTGGATTATAGGGTCTGTTTTTGAAATGATCCATATTAAGGTCCAAAGGGTCCTAAATTAAACTTTGTTTGATTTCTTTAAAAAATAAATTATTGGTGATCCTGGATATGCTGAATCTAATTGTGTATTTAATTTTTTTAATTTTGAGGCCTGTCTTCAAATTGGTCCACATTAAGGTCAAAAGACCAAAA